TATATATATATATTTTCAATTTATTTTCACTATTTTCAACCTTATTCATTCATTCAGTTCAGTTTAGAAAGTGATTTTTAAATTTTATTTTAATTTGTTATTTTGGGTATTTAATGTTTTTATATCACTTTTTCATTTTTTTTTTATCACTGTGATAGTTGGAAGAAAAACTATATCACCAGATTTTTGCTTTGATTTTAATATATCGTGCAAATTAGTAGTCATTAAGCAGATTCTGTTACCCCAGCATGAAGAGCACAATGATTTATAGCTCATGCACCAATTCAGCCAGCAACTTTTGATTACTAGCCATATGCTTCAACCAGTTCACCCCACCACCTGTATGTGTAGCGTGCCGAACACCGACAGCACCTGTTTGAACCGCATCCAGCAGACAAATTCCCATGTAACGCTTGAACGTTCTCCGCCCCTATTTCATGATTGACCGTGCAGAATTTTCTCATTGTGATTAGTGACCGATGACTGTTTCTGATCAGATCAAAGGAAGGTTGGTTTGATTGGTGCCGAAGGATCAAATTGCAGATTCCACCTGCTTTATTCAGAGTGCGGTAAACGCGCTCTAGTGTGTGTTTTACTCAAGCCATAGTGGTTGGCACAGATACAGCGTTTGGCTAAAATGCATGGTGTACCTCAGGCTTTAGAAGGAAATTAGATCTTCTCATAACTTAAACACACTCTTGCTTCACTCTGCTAATAAAAACCAATCAAACGCTACAACCAGAACCTCAGACAGAGGTGTCCCTTTGCACTGTGACCTCATTACCTGATGAGTGTAAATCAAGGTCAGACATGGGTGTTTAGACCAAATATGGATGTTTTCAGATCTATACAACATTTTTTGCCTCTTTATCATTGATGTAAAATTAAATATGTAATCAGACTGTTTTCTGTGAAAAAATGTTGACAAGTAAATGCCTCAAGTAAATTCTGGTGTAGTAGATTAGTCACCGTTCTACTTGAGACTCAAGTTTAAGCTTCC